GTGATTAGAATAGCTGAGTGTAATGAAAAGTGGAACACTCGTATACAACAGCACTAGGAGAGGTCAGTGTATAATAGTCCTCATGCACTTGGAACAGATCAATTTAATTTTTCTCACACTAAGGTCATATAAAGTGAGCTGACAGATTAGAACAGATTTTCATATAAACTACAAAATGATGATGGTGTTATAATGTATTAATACACTTTAATAATGTATCGGGATTTAATGTATTATATATTTGTAAATATAATTATAATCAATTACGTGATACATAAAGTTATATACTGTGCTGCTAGTTGAAGTAGAATATAGTTGATGGAAGTTTAGTTTATAGTTTAGGAAGGTCAAGTGGCTACGGTAGATTTTAGGAGACCTGTTTGATAGAGATCAGTATTTTTTCCGACAGTCTGTCAGGGTGATGCAGAGAGCTGAAGACGCAGCTAAAAAGATAATTTCAAGAAAGGAAGGAAAATATTTAACCAACTCGTAGCTTTATAAACCACAGCTTCTTTATTTTACCGAGAATGTGTGTAAGGCGCTAAACTCTCTGGTAAAATTACACGTATGACTAATTTTTTTTTCATACAGTTCAGTTTTTATTTAGCGTCATACATGTATCAAGTTATTTTAGCATGTATGAATTACGTTCTATAAATAGTTTCATTATAATAGAGTTAACTACAAACCTAATAGATGTTTTAGCTTTTATCACTATGTATATATGACAAAAATATAGCCAATTTATTTCGGTTATTTGCTAGTTTGTTCCTTATTTTATTGACTCTTTACTGGCTTGGACACTTCGTAGATACGTGTATGGCTAATCTACACTACTTCTTGGGAGCCAGCCATTATCGGTGTCAACAATGGTTAGTTTGATATCATAGTGTGGTTGTAGGTGATTGCTCTTTCCTAACAGTGACGAAGGCTTTTATGGAACTATTCCCTAAGACACACACACACACACACCCACACACACACACCCACACACACCCACACACACCACACACACACCACACACACACACACACTACACACACACACAGTGGCGTATAAGTCGACCATCGTCATCCCCCTCGCCATCGGCTCTGTATGCGCCAGGCCTCCCGTATCAATAGAGAGGAGTACACTGGTGAATGGCTCGTTATGGTAGCCAGGAGCCACACGTCAATGGGAGAGGTAAATGCTTGTCATATCTAACCTGACAGGGATGTTTACCACACTCTCGGTGAAAGGTAAATAGTATAGAGGCGGAAACTAGGGAGGTATGTTGGGTGGGAGGAGGAAGGGGAAGGGGGGTGGGTAGGGAAGGGAGGGGAAGGGGGAGGGGGAAGGAAGGAGGGTGTGGAGGGGAGGGAAGGGGAGGGAGGGGAAGGGGAGGGGAGGGGAAGGAGGGAGGGAGGGGAGGGGAGGGGAGGGGAGGGGAGGGGGAAGGGAGGGTAGGAGGAAGGGAGGGGAGAGGAGGGTAGGGGGTATAATATCAGTTTCCGGGCTCAGCAATGCACTTATATATTATAATCATCGTGTGTAAAATCCGTTATGTATTGACTGTAACATTATGTAATTTATAAGTGACTGGGGGTTGTATTTACAGTTTAATTTTGTAATATATTCGTATGGGTATTTGATATTATTGTAATGTAGTTAACAAAGCGTAGTACGAATAGCGATGTAGATCTGTCAGGTTGGAGATGGCATGTGTGACGAATGGCGTCGGGTGTGGCCTGACGAACCCACGACTCTGATGTTTGTCACGCCGTCGGGAAGCAAAGCAATCACCTCCGACCATCTCTCATCCCGGCCGTGGTGGTAGTGGCGGGGATAACCAAGGACCCCACTGGCTGACTATGTAGGCTATTTACCATTATTCTGATAGGGGGGGACTATACTATATCTATCTCCTCCTCTCTCTCTCTCTACTGGGGTTTTATAGTTAGTGATTTATCTCTCATAATGCCTCAATGTTGATAGCTAGTGTATTTAATAATGTGGAATAAGTGCATAAAGGTCTCTTAGGTGTTGAAGTGTGGTAATACATTGTAACATCTATAAGTATAAGAGGAAGAATTACTCCCTTTAGTTATTTTATAGTTATGTATATTGATCTAGATAGAATAATATTTAAAGACCTTATTACTTTGTTTATCCATATATTAAAAAAAATACAATTGATTCCTATTGTAGGTATCGTGTACAGACTGTAGACTATGTAGAACAATCATCTTCAACGTTTCTCAGTCTGTATGATGATATTTATAACGTGACGATGTTGTATATTAGATAACTGGCCGATGTGATTTAGAGCAAATTTCACATTACTTTAGCGGTTTTGTGAGAGATTTTGACAACTGGAAAGATAAAAGGATCACCCCAGCTTATTTCACCCAACCCAACCCAACCCAACCCAACCCAACCCAACCCAACCCAACCCAACCCAACCCAACCCAACGCAACCCAAATAGTTTTAGGGTTGGTTAATCTTTAGGTCTAAGTAATCTGGGGTGGAGAATCTTCAGGTAATACGAATAAAATGATTAAACAGTATTCTTAAATTACTGTATTTTGCTGTGTTAATCTCAGCTTGTGTGACGTGTCCTTGTGGTATATCCTGACAGCCAAACTTAGGATATAATGTTGAATGACAACTTAATCGAGAACCTGTCACCCACAACTCTCTTGACGTCGGAGCCTCGGATGATCATTCTTCACTCACTCAATATGTCTGGTTCGTTAGCGTGTGTCTCTCTCATCGTTTACTCGTGATATTGAGATATTTATTAATTTTGTAACACATCTGAATGAAAGATGATTATTACATTTACGTCTTAAGTACACAACCTGTAGATCTGTCTTGCTGGGGAAGAATGGGGTGGTCGACTATACGGTCTTACTCATAATAGACGTGGTGTCAAGCGAGTGATGCTTCAGTCACACGATCCATCTTAGCTGAATGACCGGTAAATCCTTCAAGTAGATATGATGAATAAAATGCAATAAGATAAATGCAAATTTAGGCGACTTACGATGTAAAATAGTATGAAGTATGCGCAGTGATGACAGACCACAGATAAACAGTCCGTATTAACACAACATGAAGTATTAGAGTGGCGGTGTCCACGAGGGCGCTACACACAGGCGTGGCCCAATAAACCACAGCTTGTAGTAAAGTGAGAGTGGGCTCTGCTACACGCTGCCCCCCCCCATTGATTTCTACACCCATACTACCGGCCAGGCCACACTACTACACCCATACTACCGGCCAGGCCACACTACTACACCCATACTACCGGCCAGGCCACACTACTACACCCATACTACCGGCCAGGCCACACTACTACACCCATACTACCGGCCAGGCCACACTACTACACCCATACTACCGGCCAGGCCACACTACTACACCCATACTACCGGCCAGGCCACACTACTACACCCATACTACCGGCCAGGCCACACTACTACACCCATACTACCGGCCAGGCCACACTACTACACCCATACTACCGGCCAGGCCACACTACTACACCCATACTACCGGCCAGGCCACACTACTACACCCATACTACCGGCCAGGCCACACTACTACGCTGTATCAATTCTAAAAACAATATATATATGTAGTTGGTGCATCACTTTATGGACAGTAATCAATGAGTTATCGGCAGCAAACTGTAGTATAATTGTGGTCATGCTTGTGTTTGACGGCATTTACCGTATCAAAGCTAGACACTGATTCTGTACCGTTCGTCAACTTGCTGTTTTAATCCAACTAATTCCAATTCCGACAATTACGCGTCACGGCATTTGGCAGGCGGCGTTCAATGACACAGTCAGCGTATTGGGATAATGCACTAGGATTTCCCAGTGGACACAGAATAACTTAATCATTCCCGGTTGTGGGTTTTTCGCAGTGATGGGGTGGCCAGCCCGCCAGCAACAATTCTGCCGTATAATCACGGTGGGGGAAAGTGAATCACACTTCACATTTTCACATTTGCTGGGTGTGATATTTTCAGTGTGGCCTAAAAGTAGCAGTTGTACAGGAGGCGGCTGGTCTATATCGTAACACTTGTGGCTAAATATAGTACGAGAATATAAGTATTGTGTGGTGGTAGTTGTAAGAGTTATCAGTTATACACACACATACACACACACACATACACACACACACACACACACACACACACACACACACACACACACACACACACACACACACACGCCAGTACAGTAAGTTGATGGACACCTGCCGAGTGACACTAGTTGTTATATCAAGAGGTTCTGTGAGATAATACCATGATAGGTCAACCTTGTGCATTCACTATAATATGACAACTCCTTTTACGATGCTTCACCACATGAGAGTGAACACCAGGAAGCTTATGGTCACTCAAGACTGAAGATAAGAGAGAAGGTAGATCGAATTAGTGATAATTTTACTCCACAAGAAAGGTTTGTCTAATGTTAAACCATGGTAACCTTCAACCTAACTTAACCTTACCTTAAGCGAGAGACAACGTGACAAGACTTGTTCCGTACGATTAGCCACGGTGTAAAAAACAAAAAATAAACAAAAATAAAACACTGAATGTCTATATGTGGGAAAGGTAGACATAATTACTGTGTGGTCTCCGAATAACACCTGCCCGTTCTTAGAAAATAAATCCCATAGGTGAGCCAAAGAACAGGTGTCTAATTAAGCTTGAACAGGTGTTGATACTATTTGCTAACGAGAGACTTGAGTAAAAGTAAGGTGGGTGATGTACAGTCGTTCTCACTATCCCAGAACTTGAGGGAAAAGGTAGGGACGAGTTTGAGTAAGGGGAAGAGGAAGAGGAGGAAGAGTAACAGGTGTTTGAGTAAGAGGGTGAAGAAGAGCGTGTGATCGAGAAAGGGGATGAATGTGAGGAAGAGGAAGGGAGGGGTGGGTCAGAGAGAGAAAGATTATATGAGGGTTTGTTGCCATGAGCGAGAGGTTAAGACAGACAAACACTCACCAGTTGGTTCTGATAGGCGGTGACGGCGGTGAAGACGGTCTCGGGGAAGATGAATGTCTTGTGGTCTTCTAGGTCGAGGTCAGCCACGGGTCCCTGGCCAGAGTCGTGTCGTCTTACCAGGTGGATTCTCGGCTGGTATCTGTGCATCGAGTTCAACACGATCTGTGAGGGAGGATCACCGTAATACACCTGAGTAATCACCTCTGTAAATTTTTTGTAAGTTTTATGGAATTTACAAACTTTTTATCCTACCTGGGATCACCTGTAGATTCACCCATTCAGCTTAATTGTCACCTAACCTAATCTCTCCAGGTAGCATTAGGGTAGTTAATCTTCAGGTGAAATAAGCTGGGGGAGAATCATCAGGTGGTTCCTTACGTGTTACTGGTAATCTTGGCTTATTCACATTACGTTAGAACTTGCAATTTGCGCAATCGTAAAATCGCGCCGCGCCATCATGAGTATAAAGGAGAAATTTACACGACAACACGGTACAATAGTGAACATCTCAGGCGTCAACTTACGTGGCCATGTTTGTCCATCTCGTTGTTGGTGAGTTTGACCTTCTCAAAAGACACGATCTGCTTCTTGAGTTGGTCGCCGGAGTAGGGAGAGTCGGGGTGGGCGTAGAGGCGGTAAGGTGGTGGCGGGTCAGCCTTACCTGCCACCAGCCATGACGACCGATGGTACGCGTATCTGTGATTAAATTATTGAATATGTGACAGTAATTACTAGTGTACCTGTGAAGAAGCTGACGTTCACTAGTAAGTTCTGTATGAATGTTCTTGTAAAAACATCTCTTACTGTAATGTGACGACTGATTTTTTCTTCTTTCTTCAACAACTTAGATTTTACTAGTGTTTATCTCACCCATGACTTTAATTAGGTTAGAATGAAACTACCTGACGTGTGTGTGTGTGTGTGTGTGTGTGTGTGTGTGTGTGTGATAACTTTCTGGTGCACACACACATAATTATTTTTATTGTTATTATTATGATAGGTAAGTAGACCGGACACATACCTGTATCTCTTGTTATCCATGGGCACTACGTCAAGCAGCACCAGGTAGCGGTCCTCACTCCGAAGTCCCGTGAAGGACACCCTCACCGTGGGAAACATCCGTCTACAGTAGGGAGAAAACGGAGGAAGGTTAGGGAACGACTGACTCAAAGAAAATGGGGAGATACACGAATATAAATCCCATATGAATGAAACACGTAATGGCGGTAGGGTGGGGGGGGGGTGGGGTGTAACTTGTTTTAATATATCTAAATTACACAATAACTGTGACTTATATTTGGATTACATTTGTTATTCACAGTACAGTATCTGGTGTAGACAGATGTTGATGGATAATACTATTGATTCTATTATTTTTTCTCATAACCTGCAGGACATAATTGGTGTTGAGGAAATTAAATCGATCCTAAAAATATTGTGTTTCTGTCGGGGAAAATAATGTAGATATTCTCATCCACACAAGAATTCGCCTGGATGGTGAATAGGATTTTTAATACCAGAGTACAAGGGGGAGTGAATACAAGGGAATAAATCTGCCACTGTGGAAAAGGTAGTACACACATTTAGGAGATAAATTTGACCACCAGCTACAGTTCAACAAGTCCTGGGCGAATGGTAGGTTTGGGTTGTAAGCCACGTATACAGCTGAGCCCTATACACTCGTCTCAACACATAAGTTTTTAATCGAGTATTATTGACGGGATGGGGGGTGGGGGGGAGGTGATCGATGACTCCCAGAATGAACACTATGAATCCTGTTGTCTCGGTAGGGTTGTCAAAATCCTTCGTCCGTTTTGTCATATTTTCTCAACACAATTTTGTATATATTAGTTTTTTTTTGGGGGGGAGGGGGTGACTGTACGGTGATACATTATTACTATTAAAATTGGTGACGGAGCAAGAAGTTGAAATATCCAGGAAGAACAATTACTTAACCCCTTCAGTGTAATTTCTTAAGCACTTGAGTATGATAGATTAAGTTATCGCACTGAAGAGGTTAAGCTATCGTACTCAAGTTAAGGAATCGTATTCAAATTAAGGTATCGTACTCAAGTTAAGGTATCGTACTCAAGTTAAGGTATCGTACTCAAGTTAAGGTATTGTACTCAAGTGGTTATCACTGGGGGAAACTAAATGAAGTTTGACAACATACGCATTTTACATCAGCTAATTGGACTAAGTATTATCATCCCACCTACGATATACTGAACGTAGGAGCTTATTTACAATACCTTAATTAGCTTATTCATTCACAGATAAAGTTTATAAAAAAAAATATCAAAATACTATGTACTAAATCGATCTCATAATGAAAGCTTACGAGAAAAAAAAATATTAACATTATATTTCTGGTTCAACAGGTAAGGTCATTAAATAATATATACTAAATTATTTCCTACATTAGATAACAAACTATTGATAATTCATAGAGATACTAAAGAAAATGAGATAAAATGTATTACTGTTTAAATAAGAAAAAAAAAGTTATTAAGCGAGTATACTGTAATTTAGTTCACACGTTAGGTATTATATCATTCTAAAAGTTTAAAATGTGATCCAACTTTCCTTACTACATGACAAAGTTGTGGATCTTATTGGACAAGAGAAAATTACAGATGTTTAGACACTTCGAACCATGATCCAACAAATTATGGTAAGAAGTTTTATTTTTTATGATTTTATTGACGGTATTTATTTGTTTAGTTGTTCTATTAATTTAACTAACACCTGCAGGGTTAATACTCAAGAAACGTCGGGAAGAGGGATTGTTAATTTAACCGGGGAGAGAAAATTAACATACACAATAAGGAAATATTTAACACATAAGGAGGATTGTGTAGCCGTCTGGTGTGAATAGTTCGAAATCTTAAAAATCCTAATTGATGATGAATTAGTGTAATTACCAATCTTGTTACGCACTTAAAGAGTTAATGAGTCGAAACGCAGAAAGACAATTATTACTTTAATTATTTGAGACAAAACTACTTGTACATTATTATAAAAAAAAAATATCCGACATTAAAACCATTACATAAATGTTTTGGGATCCGGCATTAATGGGGGATGGATAAAACTGGATGAGACGATCACCTTGGGGTAGAACTGTACAGCTGTGGATCATGGTTAATTTTTTTGTCATATCATTCTACCGAGAAACTTCTGAAACACACCAACACAGTTTTTATCGTGGATAGCTTATTTATTGATTTATTTACTTATTTATTTATTTATTTGTAATTACACTTAGCTATGCAACGCGGACTTAGGCTAGAAAGTGACACACACACACACACACACACACACACACACACACCACTTTGCCAAATCTGTTTCTAAGATAAAATCAAAATACATGTATTATCATTTCTATACAATCCTATACACGTGTTCTCTAATAATATCGCTTACTTGGTTCTGAACAATTCATACTGGCAATGAACGATCACTTATGGTTAACCTGAAATAGCCTTATACCTGATAAAACCTACACGTCAGTTTGCAAAATTCAGGTCTGCTGCGGTATACGATTTGTTTAGGCAAGTTGATCCTTTCTCTATATCCCGTATTGGTTTTAGTGTAAAGTATTGGTAATTAAGTAGTACAGGTAAATTCTATCGTAATTTACGGCAGGTAACTAACTAATCGTGAAAAATAAAAATAATATATAATCAAATTTGTCAACAGCAGATAAAACGTTGTGTAATAAGTCAATATATTTTTTATCGTTAAATCCGAAACGAAATCTCAAAAAAAAAAAAAATGGGAGGAACCAAACCTACAGTACAGGGTGACTCACAAACACACACTGTAATTGAACTGACGTAAATTCTCTTAGTTAAATATTCCATGATTTTTGATAATTACAATTAAATTTACATGCAATAATAATTTTTCCCCCTATTTACTCTTTTTGGGTCACCCTGTGTGAAATTAATTAGTGTTTACCTTGCTTACCTTTTTAAGCCGCAGAACAATAACAAAGTTTAAGCTTATGAATGATGAAAATATATGAAGAACAACAAAAACAACGTCGAATTATGCGTACAACAAATGTGTGTGTGTGTGTGTGTGTGTGTGTGTGTGTGTATATATATATAAATGTGTGTGTGTGTGTGTGTGTGTGTGTGTGTGTGTGTGTGTGTGTGTGTGTGTGTGTGTGTGTGTGTGTAAACAAATACTATCCAGACATAGACATACAGAAGGATAGATAACTTAGTAACTTCCATACAAGTAAACAGAAGCATACAAAGACATAACAAACAAACAAAAACAGACAAACAATAACACAACATACAGCCATACACGTGTTTGTTATAGGTCGTTTGATCTTGACCCTTGACCTCAGATTATTCTAGGTTAGGTTAGGTTAAAGACAAGGCGGGCGGGTGTACTTTTTATTCCTGTATAATACCAGAAAAAAAAATGTTTCCTGTGATACATTTTCATTAGACATACAAATTGTGTTTTTAAATTACTTTCAGTGCATCAATATCACGTAGACTAATTCAGAAATTCGGATTTAGATGTTGTGAATTTTAAAGTTGTGTGTTGTAAGGCCTTGCGTTGAGTCTGAGTGGCCCTGGTAGATGAGACACCAGGAAGAATATACCGAAACTTATTTTAGCCTCTTTCTTCCTTCCCCAAACAGTTTATTATTAAATTTCTTATAACAGATTAGTCATGTCTATCAATCTAACTTCGCTAAATTATCTTAAGAACTATAAAAAAAATATATATATAAGGACTGAGAAAAAATATTTATTTAATAATTATTCAGTAGATTAAAAATATATTCAGAAATATATTGGATAATAGAGTATAGGAACAACTACTTGAAGAAATATACAGTATTTTTCCCCTTTCAACAATCCTCTCAAGAAAATACGATTTTTTTTTCATACACTTTCAGTCCTTAGGCTAAAAAAAAAATCCACTGCAATCTACCTCCAGCTTTCTCACCGGCTCATTCCTACCCCCCCTCCTCCTCCCCCCTCCCCCCTTCCAATCCCCACTCTCCTTCCCATTTCTCTCACACTACCCCTCTACTCACCCCTCCCTCCTTCCCGTCTCCTCTTCCACCCCCTTCCCCTTATCCTGGGTCTGGTCCCCTCATCTCTAGCCCACGTGAGGAAGGTAATGAGGGGTCATAACTCACACTGAGGGGAGATCTTGCCCGTTAAGAGTCGCGTCTCGGCTCTACACTCTTCCCCTCTCCTTCTCTCGACGGCGTCTTGGCCTAACGTGCGCAGTCGTCATTTGCTGAGTGGCTGTGAATATGTGTGTGTCTGTGTTTTGTGCGTGTGTGGAGGTGAGGTGAGACGCTTGAGTGTGACATTAGTGTGTGTGTGTGTGTGTGTGTGTGTGTGGGTTTGTGTGTGTGTTAGGTACGTATAAGGAATTCTAAACCTTACCATACATACTTCGACAATGTTGGTCACACAAGGAACTCTAATCATAACATTATATTTGGAATTAATTACTCTAAATAACCACAATATAACTCGTATCAAATGTACCGTTTTAGAGTTGTCATTAAATTGTGATTATCAATATGAGTTTTTTTCGGTTTCAATTATGTAACAATGTGTCGGAAAAAGTTTATACTACTGTAACATAATTTAACAGAATGACGTCAGCAGTAAGCAAATCTTGGGTAGTTTTAAGGCAATTATATAACTTTCTATGATTTATTATTGATCCTAATAGTTGTTGTCTTATGTGTGATTTAATTTAGTATATGTGTTTTATAATCTAAATGTTAAATTACGGGACGTGAATGTAATAACAACGATAACAGCGAGATTATTCACTTAAATTTTGTGTGGTCTTTCTGTTAATTTTCTGTGGTCTTTCTGTTAATTTTCTGTGGTCTTTCTGTTAATTTTCTGTGGTCTTTCTGTTAATTTTCTGTGGTCTTTCTGTTAATTTTCTGTGGTCTTTCTGTTAATTTTCTGTGGGTTAATTTTCTTTCTGTTAAATCTTTCTGTTAATTTTCTGTGGTCTTTCTGTTAATTTTCTGTGGTCTTTGTTAATTTTGTATAGTCTTTTTATTTTGATATAAGCACATGTAGTAAAATTATAACTTATATGTATCGACA